CTTCTATCTCTTTTTGTTTAATTTCTTGGACATTGCCAACAACTTGTTGTAAAATAAGCATTTCCTCGTTACTCAAATTTTCAATTAACCCATCAAGTGTTCTATTCATCTTCAACTCATCAACGAGGTTTTTAATCTCAACTAATTCATCTAATTCTGGAAGATTTATGTCATCATAAAGTGCTTGTTATTAAGAGCTATCCTCATAAAATTCATCCTCAATCATCTCATTCATTTAATCTTCGTCATATACACCCTCATCATTTTATAAAAACTTATCTCTCATTTCATCTTCCCTTTAATATTACCTTACACCTTTTTAGCCAAGTTACGAAACTATGAAATTTTTATTCTTTTCCTTTTAATTTAAAATAATTTCTTTGTCTTCTTCATTAAATCCAGATATTCTGCTGATAAAGTCCTAAACATCTTTATCATCTTAGTCTATTATAATGTCTTCATCTCCGTCGCTGAAATTGTATTCTCCACGACTCATTTTTTCGAGTTATTCAGACATTTCTTCGTCCTGTGACTTCAAACTCTTAACTCTGATAGTCTAGCTCTAGAAAGCGAGTTTAATGCATATTTTCAGAAATCTCAATTTTATATTTGGACTAATATCAATTTTAATTGCCTGTATTACTCCAAAGATAGCTCTTCTTATGTCAAAGACATTTTTAAAGTCATTCAAATATGACTCTTGAAGGACTAAGTAAGTTTCCAGATGATTCTTTTGGTTCATAATTGATAATACTAGGATTGGATTATACCAAATGCACATACCTATGGCTTATAATATAACTAGATCAACATTTAATTTTTCATCTTTTGCTCTGAAGTAATCAAATAACATGTCAATTAAATAAGGCATCTAATCATCTATTTTACCTTTAAGGCTCTCAACCATCGTAATCAAAAGTTTAACGCTTTTTATTACATCATCAGATTCATATTAATACTTAACACTATTGATCCTCACTTATCGAATCATAGTCAAAGTGAGATCATAGTAACTTTTATTGTTTTTATCTTTCATAAGAATAAACTATGAAGGGTCTGTTTTTATATAGCCTGATAGAACGGTTAGTATCCAACTCATGCATTCCCATCTGCAATCAAAGTCATCATCTTTATCAGTATTTTTATCGCCAATAATCAATGAAATCAAATAAGGGTAAAGCTACCAAAAGGAACAAGATATATGCCCCTTTCCATTAAATATTATTATGATCAAGCAGATCAAAGCATCCTCAAGCAATTTATCACAACATTTCTTATCAAAGATAACACTTTACAGAACAGGTAGAATAATGTACTCAAGTTACTTAAGTAAGGAGTGATTTTTATGAGTACTTTCTAAAATTATTCTAATTGTACTCAAGCATTTCAAAACTATTTCGTATTTTTTAGAATTAATATCTAATAATTAGTTTGTTGACTAATGCTGAATACCTTAAAAGGCTTTAACTAACTCAATCACAATTTCTGTAGAAAGTGGTTAAATTTCAATATGATAAATTTCAATCAGTACT